ATGCACGCACAGCAACATGTGTATGAGTGTGTGCGTGTTAAGGACGAATGGTTCAAAAAGAGTGGTTCACGACTTTAATTAGATGCGGTAAAAGAAATCAGCTCAGCACAACATGTGTTTCAAGAGCATGTGGGATCATCACTGGCATTCGGGTTCCTACCAACACTCAACACGAAACTCCGCCAATGCCGATCTCGGCTACCTGCAGAGGGTATACACCCAGCAACAACTGGGGAACCCTCACGAAAAGTACACTGCGACCTCGCCCCGCTGGTGCGGAAATTTCTGAGGAGGGCAGAGCTCTGGACTAGGGAAAATGGGAAAGAACAAGGACTCACTGGTGTCAATTTCGCGGAGAGTGTTCTTTTGGCAATTTTTGATATTTTTGTTTGAGCGGAAAATGACAGCGGTAATGCAACATGTTCACGCGGTCAAGCTCAGGTGCAACAACATGTCGCACACAAGCCACAGCGCATTCAGGAATGATTACAATGATTAAAGCTCAACAATCCTGCCCCGAAGCCCCAAGCTGAACAACATCCAGGCAATGCACTCGGATCCTTTTTCCTTTGGTGGGACGAAGCCCCTGGTGATTGGCATCCTCAACCCGAGGTCCGCCACGGCCGACCGCGGCTACCCTCAGATCCCGCGAACCGGGAACTCGAAGGGTAAACTCGTCCACGGTACCCCAACGCACCACTCCAAATTCACTAGCCGGCAAGAACGGGGAAGATGACGACTTCACACGGAAGGGAAAGCCCAAAGCGCTGGCATGGGCAACGAATCCAAATTCTCGATGCCATTCATCATCGCTGCGTCCTCTGATTCTAAGGACATGAGGGCCGTCACGTTGTCCACAATGTCCAGAAACCATGTTCCAGCCGTGTGGCGAATCATGGATGGGAAACAAAGTAACCAATGGAATATCATTCACAACTCCAGTTGGGCAATCTTGGTCTGGCCTGGGCCCGAAACCAAAGACCGCCATGCGTTTTGAGCTGCATCACATTGCAGCCAGCACTCTGAACTCCCTAAGTGGGAAAACTGGGACTGCTCGACCTGCATGAATGGGTATAGCCTACATGACTGGGTATAGGACCACCTTGACGGCATCAAAGCCCATTTCGAGGTCCGGAGCACGATAGGATTAAGACCAGCTCTAGCACTAGCAATGCTGCCAAAGGCACCGTCGTCCAAATATCCCAGGCGGCCCAAAAACTTTGCAGCAGCAATACCCGGTCGAAGGGCGCAGGTTGCATGAGCTGTCGTGATGGTGTCCTGAAATTGGCCAAACCTCTTTTTCCCAACGAGGAGTCGCCGTCGGGCCCTGGTCAGATGCCAGCCACGTTTGCGAAGTACCGGAAGACACCGATGCTTCCATCTTACAGTTGGGCGTGCCCCGCGCTACGAACTGCGCCATAAACAACCCAGGTATGCGGTGCCTCGGATGCTTTTGGGCTACTGGTACCGAGTCGGCTAACGTAAGACGCGTCAGCGTTCAACTGGCTGCCTTTCCTAACGCAAGCAATCGCGTGGCGTCTGTTTACCTTCTGCTTGTTACTTCGATGATGTCACTCCCGGGCACCGTAGTCAGGCACTGGTCCAAGATCCACATATTCGGGCACCCTACCTCCTTTGCCGCCTGTCATCCCTTCCCCTGCTCCTCCTACCCTCCCGAACATTTCTTCCTGCTCCCATCCCTTGCCCCTCCAAGCCGCCCACCCCTTACCCTCCCTGCGCCTGTCCGGTACCCACCATTGCTCTTGTGGGCAGACGGACGTCTGGACAACAATGCAGACAACGCCCGCGTGGCACGACACGACTCGTCGAGCTGGGCGCGACACTGTCGCATTAAGTTCAGATGTTTGAACAGCACGCACGTTCGGGCATTTCCCTGCCTCACCTTTGTGACAATGAATGCCGTTTTCGAAGGAGACCTCATGGACCTCTTTCCATACCTGCTGGACGGCACGCTTTCGACAACAGGTAGCCAGACAGCGGTGCCAACGATTGAAGTTCGAGTCGAACCGCCGGTATGGCTTTCACACCGCATCGTCGATCGCAGAGTTTGCAGTGACGGTTTAGCTTTCAGAAGGGCTCCATGGCACCTTGTGGCAGGAGCGCGAGCATATGCTACCCAAATGCACTGCCTTGCCAGGCACCTCGACAAACATGCGAAAGGCCGCCGCATCTTGGCGCCTCCCGAAACTGCATTCAACTTCGAGCGGCTCGCGGAAAGGCATGAATGAGAAAACTCATTTTGCATGGATGCAAGTCAAAAGCACCGCGCTCTTCTAGCAGACCGTCAGCGAGATGCTGCGGAAACGGAGTTTCGCCAGCTGGCATGCCCAAAACTCACAGTCTGTGAACGTTGACAGCGGCAGCGACAGACGTGCCATTTCTTCACAGAACTGATGATGCTGCCCAGCTTGCACATGCACGCACCTGCCTAGACATGCACCACAGTTTCGGGTTTCCGCCCATGTCAAGCATCCCAAACCGTACATATTTGTCAAGGCTCTGATGCCACGTTCGCACACGGCATGCCATAGCTCGGGCAAAAGCCGGGTCGCGCATTTGTGCAGGCATCACACAAATCATGCCCAGTCCGGCGCCCCGGAGCTGCCCTGCGAACCCGGCCTGTTGACAACCAGCCATGCTGGGGCTTCGGGCTCAGAATTTCTAGTGGCCAAGCGAGGGACACGGCGTCTCAGTGGGCCCGAAGAAGCGCAGCATACTTGCACGTGCCAGTGCGTCGATCGCAGCTGCCATAGGCACCGACTGGCCGTGTCCGCCATTCGAAACACCTCACTGCAACAAGCGCACGGCGATGTGCTCGCACGAACATATCCAAATCAAACCACCTCAAAGCTGCGCACACCACAAAGGCGTCGAGACACGTTGTTGACTTTCCTCTCGACCAATCTCGTGCCGAGTACCTCGCCCAGCCGTGTCGCTTCGCCAGAACCGCAGCGGAGAACGGCTTTCTGCCGGCCTTGTGTGCTTGCATCTGTCTGGCGACAAAAGGTGAGTAGGAACCGTTTGCCAATTCTCAAGAGCTATCTTGAAGATTTTAAAGCCTGTTTCCCGACTTCCTAGCTCCTGCTGTCTGAATCAACGGCTACAGGTCTGTGGGTGCAAAAACAACCAAACAAGTCCCAAGACCTCAGAAGTCAACAGACAATACGGCCGAATGGGTTGCTGCTCACACCGGGACCTCCCGCGGCCGAGGCTCCAGATCACGCCGAAAGATGCAAAGAAGCCCCGCCGCACTCTTATAAAAGACCTTCGCAGACAAACCTGGCACATACGTTGCCTGCGCAGTCTGCTGCCATACTTACATAGAGTCTCCCTCTTCTTCTTGCGTGGGGCATGGCACTGACTGCCAACATCGGGCTTTTTTACTGCGATGGCTCCCTGCCCACGCCGCGCACCGCCGCGCTCCAACGCTCCAGGTCATTGCAGCACCTCGCGGCACGCCGCGCCGTGCGGGCGGGCTGCATGGGCCTTGGGCGACATGATTTCTAGAGACTTAAACTGAACAAAGTGCAGTAGCTTTAAAGCTGATGTGCTGGCATGTTACAATGAAACCGGTGGGCAGCGCTGCTTAGAGGCCGCGTTGCTTTGACATGATCGAAACGGCTGCAGTTGCCTCACACTCCCTGATGAAGTTCATCTTCCGTTGCCGGCGGCCGCGTCAGCCCCTTTTCCGGCATGGCCGTCATGGTCCAGCGCGGTAGCGCGCTAGCCCAAGCTTTAGCTTTCCGCAGACTTTCCGGGGTGACACCAGTACCACCGACCCCGCATCCCTGAACATCATCGGACCCCATGTTTCCCTTCCAGGGGGGCTGTGATAGGGCATCGGAGAACACGCCGACTTTCGAGGCAGCTCCAATGAGGCTCCCCCAAGGCATGGTATGTTTTCGTGTTTTTTTGGAAGCGGTAGGAAGCCGTGGCGGGAGCGCATCATGAACATCAGGGGCACCCTTTCGGGCGCCTAGGGGACGCTTGGGCCGTCTTTGGGTCGTGACATGAAGTTGCGCAGTCTGCAGGGTAGTACAGCATGAAAACCTTCACATAGGAGAAATGAAGCACCGATCGTGTCGACATGCTGCCGTACAGTACCTGGCTCTGGGGCCGTCTTCACGGGGTTTTGGTTCCAAAGCAGGGGAAAGGAAACACCAACGGTGACCATGATGCTGCTGATGCTTGCGCACGGCGCGCGCGCGCGCGGCCGGGGGGGCAGCGGAGCATGTATGGCTTAAGGCTCAAGCTTAGAGTTCTTGTCCAGTTGGCCATGCAGACCCTACACAATAGTTTTAGCACAGGCTGCAGAAGAAAGGACAGGTTTTTTCGGGACGACATTGGAGGCAAAGCGAAGTAATTCATACGAAAACCTGACCTTGAGTGACAAGAGGGACCGGATGGGAAATGCTTGCTCTGTCGCTGTTCGGCATGATCCATTTTCGCAGAAACACCCGAGACTTTTCTGCAGGCCGCAGGTAGCAAACCCGAATACCGCAAAGACTCAAACCCCATCATCTTCCCCGGAGCCTCAAGGTTTCAGTTCGAAGCCTTACATCAGACCGCGATTGGGGCATATGATGGCATTTTCTTTATAAGCCCTATATGCCCCAAGCCTCCTATGTAAACGCGCTCGAGGAATTTTGCGGAGGCATCGCGCAGACACATTGCTTTACATTCACATCGTGAAACTGCGTGATACAAAACCAAAGACACAGACCTTTAGATAAATGCTAGATTCATTTATTCATATCTTGATGGGGCTGCTCGATTTGCTCTCGGACGCAGACTGGGCTCAGCGTGTGATTTCATCTCTCCGCACTCCAGCTCATGGATGCAGACATCGATTTTCCACGACGTTTTGAGCAAGCTTCAATCGCATATGGCTCGCGAAGTTTACATTTTTCATCATTTTTCAGCTGATCCTGGAAAGTATCCGCAAACGCCCGCCAAGCTGTCTTCTCTAAGACGCTGACAGAACTGTCCAGACTTGGCTTGGAAGGGCGGAGTGCTGCCTGTTGCTCCTGTGTCGCATCAGAACGGTGCGAAATATCGGGTCAATCTGTGAACCCTTCACGAGTCGATTCCTCCGGCTGCCCAACACCAGGCATTCCTGAAAGTGGAATCAACGAAAACATGATGCTGAAACGCCTGCATTGGATACACAGATCTCTTGGATAGTACGCCTATCCCAAACACATCCTTTCTGGTATCTATCTGCGTTAAAGCTTTCATTGCCAAGTCAATGTACTAAGCATGCAGTTGGCTGGAAGAACCTCGTTCTCTCGAGAGCTGCGTTGCTTTGAGACTGCTGCATTCAAGTTTAGGGTTCAGGGGATTTAGGGTCAAGCTATAGCACCAGAAACCTCCAAGTTAATATGATTACTATGTTAGGACGACCAGGAAATGATGTGTTGGCCCAGACTCTTTCGTTGCATAATGAGCGATAACGGTTCTGTTAGAGGGTCGATGGAGTCAAATTGAACCTTCCATCTGAAGCGCTTGACTTTAAGTTAAATTCACTCTTGACACACAGCCCCTGAGATTTGGTTGTGGCATCTGCTGGGTTCCTACTTCTCTGTCAATCTCAGCCTTGCCTGGAGCCTTGCTGGGGACAATCGCGATGGGTGCCCCCGGAGGCCGAAGCGTCGAAACTGCAAGTCACGAGCACAAACGCTTGACATGAATCAACTCCTCTTGCACTGACACACTTCACAGGCAACGCGCCTGAACGATAGTTGGCACGCGAGAATTTCAGGCGGATATGATTCAGGTACCTTCCAAAGACATATCCTTCCACGCATGTTACGGCGCGTATGCTGATGCGTATTTAGGAAAAACACAGCACAACGGGCAACGCACTTCCTCGGGTAGCATGTATATACATCACGAAGATAATGACGGCTCCGCATCACAAGGGGCACATGTTCTCTTGGTTGGCAAAAGTCATGAGCCAGAGTGACTGCAAATCACGTCCGCAGTTTGCCTTGGACGAAAGCTCGTTTGATGAGCGCCAGGATGCAAGTTGCCACAGGGGAACATTTGAGAGCCTGGCCAAAGTGGTATGTTGATCCACGGCCTTGGGGGCATGACCCAAAAAAGATGCAGCTCCGAGCTGCTCAAGATGCGCCACCTCTGGAAAGTGCAACTCCAGGTCCTCCAATATCGCCTGCATGTGGATAGCATGACGGGACTATGAGCCGCTTAGACAAGCCAGGAGCTCCGTCTGCGCGGCTGCTGGAGCGCAGGTTACCGAGAGGGCCAGAAGCAGGGCTGCAGCAGCCAGCATCGAGTGCGGATACCTCTCGCAGCAACACTAGGCCACACAGAGGCACAAGAGAGCGACATGCCTGTAATGCAAACCAGCATCTGCCAGGGACAGCTGCAGCCTCAGCAACACCACCAAGCGCATCGCATTGCAACCGAGAAGCGTCCTCCGAAAACTATGTTACACGGATCGAGTGCCACTCAGAATCAATGGCCATGCTCGGATATTCCTCAGGAGTGTACAAGAAATCTGCCAAGTGTTGGGCTCGATCAGGCCTCAGACAGACGGCGTCTACCCAAAGTGGAACGAGACAGCTGAACGACGGGACTGGAAGCAAAGTCTGCGATGAATGACCTTGAAGTCAAGCTCGTGGCGCTTGGAAATTGCTCAGCCTGGCACCAAGCGCCTGAGAATAGCTTCAAACTTTGCGCACGAAGCTGTTCCGGATGCGTGCACTGCCTCTAGGAAGTCTCGTGAAGTCGGCGTACCCACGTCAAACCTGCCAAGATCCAAAGAGACTTTTTGCAAAGGGACCGAGCTGCAAAATCTAGCAAAATGCCTAAGCTTCCTCAGGATGACAAGCTCAGCGGCAATGACATCGTCAAAGGGAACCTGCGGCGCTGCGGAGCTGCGCCAGAGTAAGCCCCAAATAAGATCTGACCAATTCCCGCGACACACGGCTTGGACCAGCTAATGCCTCGTCGTGCCCCAGATGCGCAACCACCTGCTATCAGTAGCGTGCTATCTGCGACGTCTGTATCGTCTTCCATTCATTCCACTCCAGAGAATCTCGCGGGTCTAATGTGGGAAGGTTACAGACCTGTAACTGTCTGAAGCAGTTTGTGCCGTGTATTGGCTATACAAACTCAGCAGCTGCTAACAAAGCCGACAAAGCGCTGACACGGACGTTCCACCTCTCGTCGTCACACGTGTCGGAAAATCAAAGAAAATCTTTGTTGTTGTGTAAGAGACATGCTCCAAGATGTTTTAAGAAGGGATCTCTGTGTCTGGAGCCACCATCGTGTATTCTGTATTCTTTCGACACCGGCTAACCTGCAGGTTATTCTCGCCTTCCCTGATGGGTGCAAATACTCTTAAACTTTCAACCCTCAAGACTGGCTGCAAGAACAACGTGACGGCATTCATAGATGTTCAGTGCTGACCGTAAAGTGCCAACATAACAATCATGTCACATCATGTCACCATTTTGCAACGAGTCAACATCCCGGCACCTTGGCAGCCCATGCTTTCGCAACGAGTCAACATACTCTGTCACGGACGGATTGAAGCCCAGCAGTATCCAACACCTGTCGCTAAAAATTATTGGACCCTCTGCATCAGTGACATCCAAGCTTCGGGCTCTTTTTGATGTGTTTAAGCGATTGAAAATTTATCGGCATATCGAGATTTCTGGACATCTTCTGAAGTGTTGAATTCACGGGAAGCGTGGAAAAATTTTGGTATTTTGGAGATGTCGACCAGTTTGGAAATCAGTCAAACCCAAGACTACGGCAAATACTCAATCTTTGCAGGTTTGGACAGTCAGAAATCCATCCTCTGCTCTGCGTATGTGTACTGTACATGTGCGAGTCCTCCTCTCCCTCTCGGTCTCTTTCCCTTTCTTCTTCAACTCGACCAGAGGGGTGTCGCGCAAGCTCCCCCCCTCTTTCTATCTTTCTCTCGCTCTTTCTCTCGCTCTGTTTATGGAGCCCTCATAAAGTAATCTGGAAGGCAGCCACTGCGCACCTGTCGCAGCGGCAGCTGCGGTTCTACGTTGGATCCAGTTTTCAGCGCCACACAAACCTTGCACGTTGCAGTTAGTGTGGCGATTGGTGCAAGACGGCATGCAACTCGCCACATTCCCTGAGTAGTGAGCGGCTGCCAACAGCCTTCTTTGCGATTCTGCAGTATTGAAGTCCTGAACATCGAGCCGGCAAGTGCTCGAAAAGCCTCTCACAGTGGCCAGTGATGGAGCACCTCCTTGGGCAGGCTGGCATAGTACCGATCCAGCAACATTGCCTCGTCTGTTCCGTTTTGAGATCGGCTTTGGGCAACTCATCACCCTGGGGTGTGGGCTGTATCGAACAGCAAAGTATCCGGAAAGCTCATGACCTCGAATGCCTGCCGTGCTCAAGCTAGGCTTGAAGGCGTCAACAGAACGAAAGACTTCCACACCAACCTGTGCCATCCAGGTCAAAGTTTCTTGTCGGTCTGCTTGCGGCAAACCTGGCATACTTTGCTGTCTATCCGTTGCAAAGCATTTGAAGCTGCGAGGTCTTCGTTCCACCTGACTGGGCTTTGAACCTTGGAGAAACGGCCTTTACAATTTCGATATCGATTTCTTGCAACGGACCAGGGTTTCTGCCCTTCCTCAGACTCCGGGGAAGATGAAACCCACGACGCTGAGGGCGCGCTCGTTTCTGAGGTTTGGCAGGAGGTTCCAAATAAACATGACTGAGACAGGTGCACCCTCTGCCAAGAGAAGTGTTGCCAAATCATCTAATTCAGAGCATCGACTACATCTCTCTGAATGCCAGCCGAAGCCCCAGTGCGAGTTCTCACAAGCGAATTCGCCCTCCATCTCTGTCGCCCTTTCTGCATACTTCGTTCTTTCATTCGTTCTTGAGTTCTTTTGTTCTTTCGTTGGTTCGTTCGTTCGTTATGTCTTTCTTTCTCTCTTTTTCTCCCAAGCTTAAGGGGCGAGTGAAGCCCCCCGCGGCTCCCGCCCGCCCGCCCGCCTTGTAGGGGCTGGTACTTCAGAGGGGGGTGAAAGTAAGATAGTTGGAAGGGACAAGGGCCATCTTTGGTGCAGCGCTGCTAGGACCCCCTCCCCCGCCACCCATGGTATCCCCCCCTTCCCATGTGGTTCCCTGTGGTGTGAGTTCCCCCCTGCGCCTCCCTCTCGGTGGTTGCGGTCGGCTTCCATGGCCATTGCTGGTTGCACGTCCGATGGCTAAGGTTTGGACCTTAGGATGTGATACAGTTCTACTGAACTCCGACCTGCCGTGAGCTCCAAAGCCAATGATAATGATGAATCATGTAGTGATGATGACGATGATGACGAAGATGGTGGTGCTGATTTCCATCTTCGCTCTCTTCCGGTCCCTTGCTCAAAAGTTCCGAACGAAAACCATTCAAACACGTGCCGAAACTTGGCTTGGAATGACAACGGTCGATAGAGTTCGCGCAAGAACATCACAAGCCAAGCACGATTTTCAACTAAATAAAGCAATGAGCATGCAGCGCCGAAGCCCCGAGCAACATAAGAGCAGGGGTACCACCAACAGCCATACTGGTAAAAACACATCTCATTGCGCACAACATCATCGCCACATTCTCATCTGTGTGTCGCAGGGAAGGGCAAAGGGGCCCTGTGGTTCCCTGTGATTGTGGGCTATCCTTCCCCACCGCGCCCCTCTGGTTCCCTGTCTTGTGTTCCATGTGTTGTGGCTTATCCCTCCCCCCCGTTTGCTCAGGCGAGGGGCCTGTCTCGGCGCATACCGTTGCGCGGATGACGTGCGCCTGTTTGTTGAGTACGGGGGGGGATACCATGGGGGGTGGTGGGGGGCCTGCGACGCGGCGGCGCGGCACCATATATTGGATCTATGTGTTTCGGTGTTCCACCATCTGTATCAGGACGTTTGAATTGTGCACGCATACGTTCTCCCGGTGTCGCAAGTATTGACTGTTTTGTCTTTTCTCTGCATTTTACTTCATTCATTGGGGATGAGTCTGCTCGCGCAGACCCGGGCCAAGGCCCCCCATTCCCCCTTTATCGGTGAAAGAGGCTTTGGGGTCAGTGGGCGGGCTTGCGCCCCGTGGTCGGCTTGAGACGTAGAGTGCGTCTGTGGGTGAACCCCCAAACCCTGACCTTTATCGCGCTTCCCGGCCTCATCTCCGCCCCTCAACGACTCCCAACGTCAGGCCACGATGGATGCGGGCAAAATTGCTGGGTTGGACGTGTTGAGAATTGTCAATGAGCCCACTGCCGCATCGTTGTTGTTTCTCTCTCACTCTCTCTCTTCTTCCGCAGGGCTTGGGAGGCTGAGCTCTCTCCCTCTTTTTGCTTTGCTTTGTAGCAAGCTTAGCAGCACGGGCCCCCATGACCCGCGTGCCCACGCAACCCCGGGCCGGATGGGCTCAACTAGGCAAGGAGAGGTACCGTAACGCCACAAACTCCCTCTGGGGCCCTGGCAACAGTGGTACTGGCTTCTGCGGCTGGTTTGCTGCTGCACTGAAACTCTAGAAACATACTGCACACATACTGAAACCCATACCTACCTGCCTCAGCGCGGCCTGCATCCCGAACGAAAAGCCTGAAACCCTGTGCAACTTCTCCGCGCGCGAGTTCACGCAACCGGTTCTCCGTCTGTGCCGCGCCCCCTGGTCATTCACCGTGACTCGGCAAGGTCGGTGTATGTCGGTGCGACTCTCTCTCGTGTTTGCTTGCTTGCTGGACGTGCGGGGTTGGGTTGCCTCAATCTGTTTGCTTGCTTGCTTGCCGGGCGTTTGGGGTCGTAGGGGCAGGCCTTACTACCCCTGCGCGCATGCACTACTGTACGCCGCTGTCCGTGTCTGGTGTGAAATTGTGAAACTTGGGTTGCTTCGAACATGTCCGTAGGCTCCCAACATCATCCAGCCTCAGTCTGTCTCTTTCTTTCACCAGGCTTGAGGGGCAAGCCCCCCGCTAGGGGCAGCCCGTTGTTAGCGGGACACACTGTATTGGCTAAAGCTACTGGCGTACGGCACCTGTGAAAGCCCCGAAGTCTTGGTAGCCCGATAGTGGGGTACACATCGTGGTGCCATATTCGCCCCGGAGCAGCTGGGGGACGGGTCTTCCGCCCTGTTTGCGTTGCCTCGCCCTGCTCAACAGAACAAACAACTGTAGCTCAGTACTAGGTCAAAGCCACCGTGGCGAAGTACCAGGTCACAAACAGCTGGGTGCTGCAAGAGGCTCAGCAGTGTGTGCGTGGCTCGCTCCGGCACATATCTACGGACCGTCTGTGGTACCGACTAACTTCGCAAAACAAGGGCCATGGCATAACCGAAAGGTTCTACTGTGTTCGGACTCTGCTGTCGCTCCGGGAGAAGACGGGCTGGCACAGCGAGTCTTGTGGGTACCCCGGTATCACAGAACCTTCTCCTAAAGTACTGTAGTTCAGGTTCACTGCAGTCGCCCCGGAGAGTACAACAAGGTCTGTCTCTCTCTTTCTCTCTCTCTCTCTCTCTCTCCACCGGGCGTGGGGTCGGCAGCAGCATCCAGGCTACCTTCCCAGTGCGCGTGCGAACATGCCCGGTTCACGGGTGGTCCGTTCCGTCTTCTTCAGCACAGTCGGAGGGGCAACGCGTCCACGCTACCCCTCGCGCGATATCGCGCACTGGGGTGTGTACAGGAACAAGTGAAAAGTCGAGATTCTCCCCAGGCCGACTCACCGGTCCCCCAACCACAACACCCGTAACACTAAACCCCAACCCGCCTCGAAGGCTAAGGGTAAAACCCCCCTACGGTGTGAGCCGGCCCCCTTTCTCGAGCTGAGCTTGCGACGGTGGGCCCCGTGTTGGGGCGGGCACACACATCAGGACCAGACACAGAACTGCAGGGTACTCGACTAGTTTTAGCGTTATGTGTGTGGCTCACCGAAGCAGGACTGTACAAAGCGTACGCAACAACTGGACATCTGAGGGCCGGGCACCTGACATGTTGCAGGAAGGTACAAACACTCGTATGGCACGGTTGAACTACTTGACTGGCTTACACAACTGGTGCTCACTGGTCTTCCCACTAATCCCCCGGGCAGCTCTAGTCTGAGTCATCGGTGCGATAGCTTGCAGGGGACCTACGACGGCTCCCCGGGGGATCTAGTAGTCGACGTCTGCCCCCCGTAAAGTGTGCCGCTATCTCTGCCTCCACTTGTTCTTGGAGGAAGTGCGACTCAGCTATTTCAGTCGCTGGTGGACCGCTACTGTGACTCGGGACCCCGTCGGTGTCCGCGTCCCGTTCAGCAGAGGACGGAACATCCCTCTCGGCCATTGCATGCCGGAGCCCCCAGAAAGCCGGCTGCGTCGGTATGTGGGCTTGGCTGTCGGCCCCCCCGGCAGTGTCGTTCCCCGTGTCGGCATCCAGGGGGAGCGTGGCCGCCGGCTCGGCAGGGTCGATGTTCATGGCCCCCTCTGCGTCCACTGTGTATACTGCGTCTGTCTCCCCAGGAGCCGGGGATGGTCCCCCTCGAGGCGGATCTCCAAACAGGCTCGGTGGCTGATCCCTTGTTTGGCTCTCCGTGTTGCCCTGGCTGTCCACGAGGAGCGTGCTGTGCTCTTGACTTTGCACCCACTGGAGTAGTACTGCCAGGAGGTGTCTTGTAGGCTCCCCTTCGTTGGCGGTGAGGAATGGCACCAGTTTGCCCAGCTCTCTGAGGTAATCCTTGAGCTTCTCAAGGGGGGAAAGCCCCCTCCGTGTTTCTTCTCCTCCTTGTTCCAGTGCCACGACATCATTGGCATGGACCGTAGGGGGGACGTAGAGCAACTCGAGAGCGAGCCCCCCCGCTTCTTGAAGGAGGCTTGCCACGGTTAAAAGCCACCCTTCGCTCAGCCATTCTCGGTCTCCCCGGAGTGCCCGATCACGAGCAGCTGTGATGGCTTTAACAGCCGTTCTTGCCCCCTCCACTGCTTCCGTGACTTGCAAGCCGGCTTGATCTTCGGTGGAGCTGAGCAGTGCATTCAGGCCTTGGTAGAGTGTGGCAATCCCCACCGAGAGGTCCGTGGCCAGGTCGTCGTCACTGAGTGTAGTCGGCAGTCGTTGGGCTAGGCGACGGAGCTGGCCTTCAACCTCTAAGAACTCGTTCGAAACTCGCGCCCTTTTATTGTGACCCCGGAAGACATAGGAGTCGCCCCCCTGGCTGTGGGGGTCCAGCGTGAGGAGCACGTTCTCCACTGACTGTTGGAGTTCCATCGCCGGTGTCGCTGCCAGGATCCGCGCGATCCGACGCAGGTTGCGTCGAACCATGGCCAGGGCCAGACATCCTTGAGGTACGAGACTTGCAGGGGGGTCAGTGCTGCTAGTCGCCCCCCCTAGTCTGGTCTGCACGAGGTTGGTGTGGTCGTTGTCCCCCTGCTCGTCCCCCTGTTCTTCATCTCCTTCTTCGTCATCTTCGGGATGATCGTCACGGCGTCGGTGTCGTTGCGGCATCAAGCGCTCCCCCAGGTGCTCCCATCTGGTGACTGGTTGT